ATTAGTTATTTTTTTTATTTAACAATTGCCTACATTGGCAGTTGAATAAATCACAGAATTCACCTCATTTACACCTGTATCAAACTGTGATCTGTACGCAGAAGGTCATCCAGATAGTCTAATAAATGATCCGATCTTGCCTTTGTGTTTACACCTGGTATTTTTTAATCCATTCTTGTTAGCCACATTGAGATGCAAACTGTTAGCCACATTGAGATGCAAACCTGCAACTGAGTAGGCCTAATTTGAGGTGGCCCCAGATTGCTTTACAAAAATCACATAGTTTGTTGAGTTATTGAGTTAGGGGAAACTTTATACACTTTGTGAAATGCTGTCTATGGAAATTTCTTAATTATCTGTCCCCTTTTGTAAATTAAACTGTAAATTTGACTGTAACTGTAATACATTAAGTTATTCCTTTCTTTGTATATATAGATACTGTCTCAGTTTGTCTGGGAGTGTTGCAGTGGGTCCTACCGGCGTATTTGTTATTGTATTTCATTCATTTCCCACCCGTGGTGCTTTCATTTTTCACGCAGTTCTGTTGACGCATGCAGTTATATGAGGCTTGTCTCCTTCAGCCTATATAGACCTAGTGTTATGTTGTGTGCCAGCACGTTGTAGGCTATAGATTGTGTTTATAAAATCCTAACACGATGCGAGCGAGACAACCCAGACGTGGTCAGGCAGATCACATTCTGACGCATTTACACCTTCCACCCCGAGATGAACTATCATTAAATTGCTAATCTTGGATGTGTGCGCACTGTAATGTGTGTGCACGTGTGTGATGTATAGATTAAGTGTTACATTTTGTTGGTTTTAATGGTAGGAGGGGTGGCTGTTATGCACCCATGTTCTACTGAAGTGCATCCTGTGTGATGATGAGATTATCTGTAAAGAGGATTTGCATATTGTTTAAGAAATTAGCTGTTTGTTTTGGTGATGACTCTCACTCCCTCTGTGCTGTTTGCTGGTTGGATTGGCTGGACAAAATTACCTTCTTATTTTTAGTTTCAGACCTTTACTTTAACTTCGGCAGTACTAGAGGAGAGGACACAGTAAGTTGGGCTGTTAGTGTGCATTTTTCACCGTGAGGGAAGTGGGGTCAGAGGGCCTCAAGAGTCACCCTTTGCTTTTGATTTTCTCCAATACTACTTCTGGTGAGAATATAAAAAATATGGTTATTTATGGAATTATGGTCAGGCATTTCCCCCCAGTCACTCAGGGAGACTCAAGGAAAAATATTTGTACGGTCAAGATAAAAAAAATAAATCCCCGATAAATAACAGTCCCTTAGAAATGATTGGGATTGCAGACGAATAAACAGATTAATTAGAATTTTATTACCATCAAAGTCATCAACTCAGTCAAGGAATACAGCACAGAGCTCACAAATGCAAGACAGGACCTACAGGTGACCACTGGTCCTGGCAAACATCACATCTACAAATACACCTGTAAGTGCATGGCAAAATCAACAGACATGAAATAGTAAATACAGTGAGAAATGTATTGGGGAAAAAAGCATTGCTTTAAACAGTATTCAAACAGTATTTATTTGCCATCTAAACAAAAGGAACGGACTACATGAAATAATCTTTTTACATAAAAAATATCTGATATTATTTTGTTTAACCATCTTGTTAAAATCTAAATATTTATCTTAAACAATGTAAGAAATAAAATAGTGGTATTGTTGGAATGATTGGTGTGAGTACCAATCAACAGAAATTAAAAGAAGATACATGTGTGGCAACAAAATACTCTGCAACAGCCACTCTAAACTTTAGATTTTACGGATAATAAATGTGACCAGTTTTATCCAGAGCCCCTTTATATCTGAGGTGCACATTCTCATAGAAACTCACAGGTGTTCACAGGAAATACTCTTGACAACAGATTGGGTAGAGTCAGACAAAGTGGCCGTGCACAAGCCATAACACTTTACTTTATTTCATATAATAATCGTATTGACAATGTGGCTGCTGCCTTTGTGACCAGGGAATGAGAGCCCATGGTTCAGTGTGTGTTAGCACAGGAAATTGTGGGGATTCACAGGCCAGAGGAGCAAATATGGTCTTTTTTGCCCTCCCCCCCCACCCCTACCCCCACACACACTTATCTGACAGCAGCAATGTGTTAGTTAAGTGGCCCTCATGGGCCTGACAGCTGGTAATGACTGTAGACTTCTACTTACAGGTACATGGACTTTATCGAAAGGACACCAGGAATCACAGTTTCTGTAGCCAGTCGAATATTGCTCAATGTCCTCTAGAGTGATTACAGAGAACTCCTTCTGTAGCTCATTATTAATGCTCGAGGGGACCAGTGACAGGAAAGGATAAATTGTTATTACTGTTTATCAAGTATAAGCTTAAACATCTATGGAATAAACAAATGAGTTGAAAAACAACAACAATAGAAAAAAACATAAATAAACAATATGATCATAAATGTCAAATATATGCTTCATACATTTTCTCAGTACAATATAGGTCAACAAAGCTGAGTCGTTGAAGATGACCCTAGTTACCACGAAGTCAAAATGGAGCATGTCTTCCCTTGAAAGCCGCAGGTGGTCGGTTAATGCACATTTTGTTTTACAGTTACAACCAAATATTAAGACATATGTGGCATTTGAGTCTAAAACCCTAACACAGAGGATACGATTGAACCAAAGTAGATACAAGTAGACTGAGATCTAGCAAAAGGAAAAACAATCCGTCACATGATGTATAAAGACGTTTCTAAAAAAAAAAAAAAAAAAAAGGAAAGCTACAAATTAATTTGGATGCATAGAACGGCTATGTAATGAAGACTGTTTTTATTCATATAACTTACGTTGACAGCAGGGGTGCTGCATAATGTACAGTATGCTTTTGAAAAGAACATTGGCCTTGATATGGCTTGTGGCAAGAGACGAGGGTTCTGTGGCCACCGATAAGAAGAAGTTGGCAGTACCGCATCTTTATCTACCAAGTGGCTGTAAATGTAAAATGAACAGCAAAAAGTGAGAATGCATGCTGTTTTGGCTACTTCTACAAAGGTCTCTATATACAGAATCTTTACACTTACAGCTATGAGGTTCTTTCCTGAGCAGGAAGTTAGCAATGGAACTTAGTGTTTGTGTGTGTGCTTATGTGTGAAGCTGCCTAATTCATAATACAGCACTGGGATTAATAACTCCCAGTCAACAATCTCAGCATTGTTTAACGCACAATAACTGGCTAGTGTAGACAATAACAGATAAGAAAGATAACCATATTTCCCCTATGACAGGGGTATGTGATCTCCATGTGTGAGGACCAGCACTTACTGAGTATTACGGTACGAGTTCAATATTTCAGAAGCAAATCTTTTCTACTGATTCTAAGAACAAATACAGTAATTGCGAGACTGGCAGAGAGAAGTTTCCAAAGTTGGCTCATTATAAAAGAATCAAAGCCGTTTTCAGCACAATTATGTCTTTCTATATTCCCTTATCACTAAGAGAAGAATCAGAAAGATGACTTTAGCTGCAAGCCACAGTCTGACAGCAAATCTGTTTTTGCCCATAAATCTCAAGTGTGTGGAGACAGACGTGGTTTATATAATCTGCCATAAAACACTGGAGGGTCAGTGAAAAAAGACACAACACATGTAAAAAGAAAGCCAATGCAATGCAGCACTCAGGAAGAGACAACACAGCCTCCATGAGATGATGCTAATGCTGCAAGTGAGAGAGAAGCAGAGTCAGTGTCACCATGCTAGCAGCTAATGTACAGTGTGCAGGAGTTGATGGGGACTGCAGAGGTCAGACAGGGAGGGTTGGGGGGGGGGGGGGGGGGGGGTCTAACCCTGCTCGTCTCCGGCCTCGGTGGCTGCATGGACAGCAGTCGAAGCTTCTCCATTACAACGTGATGTGGGCTCAGCCTCTTGTGGTGCCGGGCTCGGCTGCTGGGGCTCGGCGGCTGCCACCCCGACTCCGGCCTCTGGCACCGGTTGGCTTATCTCCACTCCGGCAGGGACGTCTGTGACAGAAGCAGGCGCTCCCTCGGGTGTCGCGGCAGATGAAGGTGCGGAGGGGTCGGTGGCAGCCTGGGGAGCTGTGGGGTCTGCTGGGGCACCGGCTGCTGGGCTGGTTGCCCTCGAGTCACTGTGCTCAGGTGCTCTCAGTCTCTTCATGATGGTGGTGACTCGCACAGCTTTCTGTAGAAGGGAGAACTGAACTCAAATAGGTGCTATGCCCTGAAAACTTGCTCAGAGAACATTAACTCTCAATACTGTACTCCTATACTGCCCTACAAAGTCTAAGTGCAGTAACTATGCAAACACTGAAACTGAGAAAAATGCCTTTAAAGTTTTGAGACTAGCCTATCAAACATGTTGTGGTTAGATCGGTGGTAATGCGTTCATGTAATACCTTCTTAGGAAGACATATTTTATAGATAAAAACCAGGAACACTGATGTGCCCTTTGACCCTCAAAAAGTAGATCCTGCACTCTGCCTTTGGATGACCTTAACCAACTAAAACAGTATTGCAAAGATTGTTTTTAATAGCTTTAAAAGTTTTATTCATGTTTGCAAGTTGCAAATGTTGAAATTGCTCAGTAGTAAGCCTCAAAATTAAGTTGTCTTCTATTGCAATTGCACTTTACCACAGTTTTTTGCTCTTAAAAAATTTACTTTGAAGAAAATGTCATCTTCATTGACTTAATTTCCCCATCCATCATTAGCATTTTACACAATAAATAAATGTTGATGTGTTAGTTTGCATTAGAATTTTCAAAATTAATTTAAATTAATTTATAACAAACCAAGTAGTCAAAAATTTACAATATTTCAATTAACAATATGAAATGGAAGAACTACAAGTAAGGGGTATGTGTGTGTGTGTGTGTGTGTGCGTGCATGCGTGCCGGTGCTGTCGGGTGCACTGGTCCACTTTCCTGAGGAAGCACAGCCAACTTTAGCCAACGTTAACTGGCCCAACATAAATTAACTTTACCGGAGCCAGCTAACTTTTGAAGGAGTAACGTCTGTCACAACAATTGGAATAGCTGCTTGAAATGTGAAGAAAGAGATGCCCGAAATAAAAAACATCAACGCGATTATAAATCACGCTGTCGGAGTAAATGCCTTCAAGGGAGCAGGTAGGCTAAAATGTTTGTCTGATTTGCAAGTGGTTGGCTAGCCAACTTAGTTAGCTAATCTTAACTGATTATAAAGCTGTCATTTGACTTGCTGCGTTTTAATGCAAGTTCAGCAATAATTTTACTGCGGGATTGTGCTATGGTGTTTCTATATTAGCTGGTTGGCTTGTTGGTTCTGTGAGGGAGTGTTACAATCAGGGCAAACAGTATTACAGTTCCTTTCGGGATTAGGCTACCAAGGCAGACCACAGTATCTGCGGTGTCAAAGCCAGGAAAACAAAGCCAACCAGAGCGCAGTAACATCACTTACTGCGGTTTGCCTTGGTATTAGCTTGGATTTTGTACTTACTGCAATTTTGACACTCTTATTTCTCTGAAATGGGGCAAAATTTAAGTAGGAGACTTTGCCACAAGACAGAACAGATGTCATAAAGTCAATAAGTAATTTCAAGTCTTAACTCAATTTTGACCAAATGTGTAGTTACTACGCTTTGGCTTTGTAGGGCAGTATACTTCCCTGTTCAAGGACCGTACAACTAGTGTTGAACTTTGTGAAGAAGAGCTTCCTGGAAGAGAGAACAAAAGGGCTTACCTTCCATTTAGCTCTGGCAAAGTTCTTCTCTATTTGTGCACACACATTTTCCTTGATGTTCTTATCTGAAGCTGCACCACCAGAGATCCTGTTGCATAAAATGGGGAAAACACAGCTTCACAACAGAGCCCCGCTATCTTCCAATGCTATTGCACACAGTATTGTTTTTAACACACATGAACACTTAGATACCTGAGTTTCAGGTCATCGATTTGCTGTCTACTAAATTGTAGCATCATTTTCAGCTGCAGCAGGCAACTTTTTCAACAAAAAGGCTCACTGTGCACTATGCTCAGCACCAAATGGCAGACAGACACAGTTAGCAACTATAGCTGCTGAACGTAATGGAGCATTTAGCAGCTAAAGAGCCAGATATTTCCCTTCAGAGTTGGTAGAGACCAAAAACAGAGATAAAAGAGAGTGAATACTGGAGATTTGCCAGGTGACCAGAATGTTGCTCCATTACTGCTGGATGGGTAAATAAGTACCATTTTGCAAGTTCACCATATCAACTTAAAAGATGATACGCCAATTTTGTGTTCACAGCTTGTTTCTGCTGCCTCGAAGTAGCCAAAAATATTCGTTCTTGCAGGTTTAAGTATGTTAGCATGCTAACATTTGCTAACTAGCACAAAACAATGAATGTCATGGGCATGTCATTAGTTTTTCAGGTGTTTGGTCATAAACCACAGTACTGGTGAAAGTGATAATGCAACATAATGATGGCACTTGTGGGGCACATGAATGTCCAAATTTAATGGCAGTCCATCCAGTATTTATCAGTTCAATAGAAGACGTAAGTCTGCTGGTAGCACCAAAGTAAATGTCATTGGATCACCAAAGTCAGTAGATTAAACTGTCTGGGAATCATGAATCTCTGTACAAAATGTTGTGCCACACTGCAAAAACTGAGCTCTCAAAACCAAGGGGAAATTATTAAATAAAAGCATTAAAATGGAAAATAGAATATTTCACTTGCTACTCAAGGCCAAAAAAACTTGAAACAAGTGAAATTCTCTAACATAAAAGCCGCCTGGTAAGACAAAATATCTTGTCAGACAAAAAATAAGTATATTTTGCCTTCAATTAAGATAATTAATCTTACTAAGATTTTAGTTTTTTAAGAGACACATCAAGTCAGAAAGAAAGTCTGCTCTTTTACAGCTGTTCTGATCTCATTAATAAAGTCTTACCACCCTGTTCTGGTTTAAATGGTCTGCACAACATATCAAAGGTCTCCCACCTACCATTCATGGTTTATAGCCTCCTGGGCTGTCAGTCTCTGGTCTTGATCCACCTCCATCAGACGAGCAACGAGACTCTTTGCTGTCATAGAATAATCACACAGAAGAACTCAACAAAAAAGGGGTTGTTCTGCTGATGGATGGGAATATAAATATGATGTGTTTTTGCCCCTCTAGAGGTAAGAAGGGAAAAACTCTTTTGAATATGTTTACCCAGCAAGCTGTCATTGTGTTCCTTCACAGTGTTAACTTTATCCTCAAAGTACCTGAATCAGAGATGTCATCCCAGTACGGAGAGTCAAACTCATAATCGCCTGCCAGGATCTTTCGGAACAGGTTTTTGTCATGGTTTTCATAATCATCGTCATCAGTTTCATCATAGAAAGGAGGGTTGCCTGACAGCCTGAGGAAAAAAGAGCATCATTAGTGAAAAACAACAACACCTGCATACCATATCTAAACAAGGCTGATTATGTATCACAGAATGTGCAATCTTTTGTTTGAAAGTTATCTTCTGTCCTCATGTTTAAGATCACAACTTACAGTATGTACATGATGACACCTGTTGCCCAGCAGTCCACAGGCCTGCCATATCGCTGTCTGCCCACCACCTCGGGAGCTGCACAAGAGCACAGAAACTTCATCAAAATCTGTGAGTTTGAAAGTAGGTAGACACATCACATTCTCCACTGATCTGCCTGCACAACAATATCTTATATTCTCACCCAGGTACTCTGGTGTCCCACAGGGGTCTTTGATTAGTCCGTTCTCCAGCTTGGCAAGATGGAAGTCGCTGATGACTATTTTAGAGTGCTTCAGGCGGTTGTAATAAACCAAGTTCTCCAACTAAAATACAGTGTGTTACAAAGAATGGTTAATGTAATATTCATCTTTGTTGTCTTTCATTTTCATATTTAATCATCTGGTGATAGTTTAAAAGGCCGGATTTCAGTGGTGAGATAATTTTCTGACATAAATACAATGAGAAGACTGAAAACATCTAACAGTGTATTTTTTCAGCTCAGATTAAAACAAATAATATAAAATGAGAGACATTCACTTTAATTAAAGAGATTTAAGAGGTATCGATGTGGAGAAGCTCATCCAGCTTTTGCAATAACAAATAAATCATATGGAAAAACCTTTTCCTCTTTCCACCTTTTACTTGTTTGTCGTCTTGAATCTGCATACTAACAAGATTAACGACTATTTTCATGATGCGACTAACACTGATGCAGTGCAGATAGTCATTAAGTGTGCCCTGTCCAGTGTGTCAGGGGCATGCTAAGCGCTCATATATTATTTTCTAGGCTCGCCTGGCCACCTGTGGCACACTCGGATGAATGAATGAATGAATGAATACATTATCTTACATTATTGGTAGGCTACATACTAGAGGCCTGCATTGGGATTGGGATCCCGCGGGACCCGTCACAAATCGTGCAGGAGCGGGCAGTTTTAACTCTGGTGGGAGTGGGCAGTTAAAAAATATACTGCGTGTCCCGAGATTTAGCTAGTGCTAATATGATGGAGTCAACAAACGAAGTTGAAAAGAAGAGCGGGCTTATACAATACAATACCAAAGCAAGAAAACATGTCAGTTGTTACTGACAAAAATGATTGCAATGATTTATGTCAGTTATTCTTAACATTTAGCATAGTCCAAACATTTGTGTCCTTTTGTCCACTCTGCATGTCACAATGTTTGCGGGTGGTGTGGGAGTGGAACACACATGTTGTAGGAGCGGGCGGTATTGGTCACAAATTTAGCAGAAGCGGGATCAAGAAAACAGTCCCGCGCAGGGCTCTACTACATACTCTCATCTTCTTTCAACACAAAGCCCTCCCTTTCATGACATTTTGAGAACCCTGCAGAAACATTTCCTCAGATGAAACGTATTATTGTCTGTTACGATCCTAGTTTCAAATATGAATACAGCAGAGTGCCTTTAATAATCAAATGAAGCATATCATTTAAAGAAATCTAAAACACAAAATCTGCAAGCCGACAACAGCACACAGCAGCCATCATGGCATGACCTTGGCTTTGCTCTGCTAATCTAGACAATCTTTTGGATTCACTGTTTTTTTAACCCCAATGTTGAGGTTTATTGTTGGAGCTGCTGCTGATAAGAGAACAGAACAGTAATGGGTTTTTTGTTATTTACAGGTGAAAAGAAAGTGTAATTGGCTTAAATTTTGTTGAAACATTTTTCAGATTATGATTTTTATTTCAATGACATTTATGACCTCTGTATTTTCAGCATTGAACCGATTCTACAGGATCTCCCGGACATTTTTATTGGTAAAAGTGGTTAAAGAGTAAAACCCTTCATGTAGATTGCAATTTAATTGCTTGTGATAAAAGTGAAATGGCACCCCAGTAATGTCGTTTTGTTTACTTCTGCCATGGGATTAGACTATATCTTCTAAATCCTGCACTACTGTAACGTGTTACCTTGAGGTTTCTGTGAACGATATGCAGGGAGTGGAGGTAGGCGACAGCCTCCAACACCTGGCGCACCACGTTGCTGGTGTCTCGCTCTGAGTAGTAGCCTTGGTCCAAGATCCAGTCAAATACCTCTCTGCCTGTTGCACTGTGGAAAAGGAAGGAACATATTCTGTTACGTCTCTGTTGTTGAAAATTATGATTGCTATTCTAACTCTGCATTGGAATATTTGCAGCATGTTCCTGCAATGTTAATGGTTTAAATCTTACTGGGAAACATTTCAGTCATTCCCCCTTCTCTTCCCATGTTTCCATCTGCTCTCCATTAACAACAATTCAGGCACAGGCAAAAAATTAAATCTGGTAAACTAATTGTCTCTACTTGTAAATTCCCATACTATATTTATAGGGATACGTTAATTCCACAATTCTATTGTTCAAAGATTTTTTTTTTGGCAAGATTACATAACACACCTCACCTGTTGCAGGGAAATGGTTTAATTTTAATATTTTCCTTATAGAAGTTTATTTTGTGTTTGATGTTTACTTTCTTACCAGAATTCCTAAAACTGCTAATCAAGTGTCCCCAAAGGACAAGATGAGCATCGCACATTTATCATATCCATGGAAATGTTTCAAATTCTCCAAGAACACATGCTGATGAGAATGGGGGAGCTGGCAAGCCATATCTGAATACCAAATGAGTAGAGTTCAGAGCTGTTCTCATATCTACCCGGCCTCAGGCTACAACAGCTCATTCCCCATGAGTGTATATTCAACACATAAAGCAGGCCCAAGCGAGAAGACAAGCAGAGAGCCTTTCCCCCCGGCTCATCAGACATCTGAACTCACAGTTCAAGGAAGAGGAAGTACTCTTTCTTGGTCTCGAAGACATCCACTAGTTGGAGAATATTGGGATGCTTCACCCTGAGGAGATGTGTCACAACAGAGAGAGAAAGAGAAAGAGAGAATGATATCAGGAGTCATATAGCAGAAGACGTCTGCATCATGCATTATACACAGTAATAATGTAAAGATCTGCTTTAATACTCATGAATAACACACTACCATAGTCACGGAGGGTAAGAGAGGGAGCAACCATGAAGAAAACAAAAAGAAATGGCAAAACTTTGGGTTACTTAATGTAATCCCCGCTTATTTGATAACACTGTGAGGTGTTTCACTGTGGGAATCGCCTCTGTGTGACCAACTATTGCAGCTCCAATGACACCATGTCTGTCAGTGTCAGCGATGAGGGAAGTCATGGTGGAACACCTCACTCTGTTAACAAGGAACCAGGAATTATGTTAAGTTCAGTATTTTACAGTGGGACATACAGCCCACTCCTGGATGGCATGTTCCTGAAGCCACAAACAATGCCAAGCAGTGCAGTCACCATCACACAATTCCTGGTGCATATACCTCCAGCACTCCTCGTGCCAGAGATGGCTCTGAGAAATCCAGCCTGTAAAACTGTGAGGCGTAGCCAGGTTGCCACAGCACAAATGTCCCACACTGAAACTCCCCTGAACAGGGCCCACGAGGTGGCCACACCACTCATGGAATGAGCCCTCAAACCCTTACACCTGTAGGCCAGAGATATAGTCTCTACAATCCAATGGGACAGGTGGGACAATGGTTTGCCTTTATGGGGAGTAGCCCAAGACACAAAGAGCTGATCCTCATTCCTAATTCCTGCTGTCCTTCTCACATACACCTGCAGAGCTCGTAGTGGGCACAGCCTTTCCTCGTTCACTGAGGAGAATGGAACAGGATGGAGCGACACAAGTTCCACTGTGGGACACCTGTAGGTTGATTCCTCCACCTTAGGCATTGAGGCTGGGGTGGGCTGCAGGCAGACCTTTGTGAGCCTCGGAGCAAACAAGCAGGACAGGCGGACGGACAAGGCCTGTAAGTCACTCACACGCTGCCTCCATAGGCTCAAAATGATGATGGTGATGAGAGAGGGTATCCAACACAAAGTGTTGGATACGCCTTTTGTGAGAGCCATCAGGTCTCCCCACTGGCAGAGAGCTGCCACACATGCTGGAGGTATTTTCACCTTGCGACTGAGGTGACGGCGTGCATACGTAATGCTGCAACCCAAAGCAGAAAATCCCTCATCATTAGCAGCCCCAGTTGTAACAGAAATCCCTGAAGCCATGAGGCCGAGGAGGAGTGTGAGCCCCCATGTAGGGATTAAAAGAGCATGACTGATATATTTATTATTTTGTTTTTTGTAGCATCTTGCCCTTGGCTCTGAGCCAAGCTGCGAGGATGCAAGCTTTATTTCTGAACATGTAAAAGGTGCTTTGGTGTTGTGGTAGTGCTTTGATACAATGTGATGTCTGCTGCCTCAGAATTTCGTCCACCTGAACGTAGGGAGAGAGCAACTAAAAAAGCATGCCTGGGGAACTGGAAACTGCCAGGGTCTCCAAACCATGAACTGTGGGGCTCTGCAAAATTTCCATCTCCCTCCTTTCTTCCTGGGAGGGGGAGAGGGAGAAGCTGGGTGTGTTAGGTCTTACGCTTGTTCTTCCCATCCCCGTGGTGGGAGGGGCGGTTCCTAGCCGCCACAGCCGCAAACAAGTGTTTGGTCTTGGTTTTTCTGACTGTGGCTGCTGGTCAGTCTGTTGACCAGCCACCTGTTGCTGAGGCTTGGCAGCCCCCTGTCTATCCTTCCCGGGTGCTGCTGCTGCACCAAAGCCCGCTCTTGGGGTGCTTGAGATGTGTGTCCCAGGCAGGCAGAGGTCAGAAGCTCCCCCTTTTTGTTTCCCCTTCTTGTTTCCTTGTTTCCACTTCAAGGAGCTCATCAAAAAGTGGAGACATGTCGGCCCAGCTTGTTGTGGCTCAAGACTGATGAGTGCTGATTGTGGCTTTTGGGGGGGCTGCCGACATACGTCCTGACTGTCTCCTTCCCCCATGATACCGGGTTCTCCAGCATCAACTATATAAATACAAATAAAATACTAAAGCTGTATCTGAGAATTGCACTGCTACATGTGGACAACAAAGTATTGTTTCTCTACAACCAATCAGAGCTTATTCTTGGTCCCATTCATTTAAGTATGACCAACCAATAAAACATTGCTTGCACACCATTAAATATCTGATTCAGACATATTTTAAGTGTCTGAAATGGTGTTTCCACATCACACACAGGTAAGCTGCATATTGTACCATAATTGGAATTGGCTCCAAACTAGGTGTAATGTCACAAATCAGGTTTAACCAGAGCTCATAGAAACTTTCCCCCTTCAGCAGATGAATGCAAAAACAGCCGTCTAGTGTCATACTCAACAACATCCAAGTGAACAAAACTACAGACTGAGAACCAATTACATTGT